TAGGGGATGTCAAGCTCAGTTGGCATAACATACTACATAAAGCATTGTTCCACCTCCTACTTTGGTGAATAGCAACTGGGATCTTAAAAGCTTGCAAGCAGCCATCTAGATGCAGTGATGGGTCTCTCCTCATCCAGAGCAAAGAAGAATGAAGAAAACCAAAGATTCATGGAAACAATTAGTCTTGGCGACTGGTACACCATGCGATCCGCGGCCTATATGACTATGAGACCAGAAGAACTAGATGGTGCCCAGCTACCCGTCAACCACTTGAAGGGAGATCTATGTACGAGATCCTGGATAGAGAGGGAGAACAATATGGAACAAAACTCAAAATCACTTGAGAAAGAAAAAGGGGGGGAGGGGACCAGGTTTGCTGGTCTGATAGAGCTTGGTGGGACCACTGAGTCTATGGCTTTCAGGTCTGGAATTGAACCCACATCTGTGGCTTCCAGCCAAACAGAAGACAGGCACATGAGTTAAACATTTACCTGAGGTAGATACACTCTTGGAGAGAACAATGATGGGAGAAAGAAGGACTGTGTATGCACAGGGAGACAGCTCGGGGCAGGAGTGTATGGGAGGAAAGGACACAGGGAAGAGGTAACTATGGGGAGGAAGTGGTAGGGGAGCTGTTGCATTGGGATAAATTGTAGTCAATGTCTTGAGACAAAGTGTATGTGAACTTCTGTATGGAAAGTGAATTTGCTCTGTAAACTTTCACCCAAATCACAATTAAAAAAAGAAAGAAAGAAGCCTACACACCCAGGGCCTTGGCCGACAGTAGCCACGGTTCAAGTGCTAACAGCCTCACGGGGCCACTGTGTTGGACAGCACAGAGAGAACACTTCCATCATTGGCAAAAGTTATATTGGACAGCACTGTTCTGGGGGAAAGGCATGGGCAAGTGGTTTTGCCTCATCGATACTCTACTTATATTTTAAAGGCTCTGACAAGTCCTGCAAAAAAGAAAGGGTTTCCCTGGAGCCTAGCACTCTCCAAATTGATTTGTTCACAGAATTCTTTTAACTCTTACATACAGCTCTGCCTTCCCTAAACACAACCACCCAAGTGACCACTCCTCACATCCTCAGGACCCCTGGAGGCCCTGAGTTGGGAATCTCAACCCCTCTTCTTCTTTTATCCCCAGATTGCCTCGGGTCCCCAGTGTTTACTCCCATCAAAGCGGATATAAGTGGCAACATCACGGTACGTACTTGGCCCTGGCACCTGGATCAGGAATCTAAACCTGCCTCGGGTCCCCAGTGTCCTGCTCCACGCTGCAAGCCTCCCAGCCCGAGGAAGGGGAAAATAGGCCTGGTCCCCAGCTCAGGGGCTCCTTTCTAGTCATGCCAATCTTACCTGATTGAGACCACAGTCTAAAGGGTTCACCCTAAGATAGAACCTGCTGATTCTTTCACCCCCACCAAATGAGAAAAAAAAACAAACTCATGCCATCGAGTCGGACCCGACTCATAGTGACCCCTCTTTGGGTTTCTGAGGCAGTGTCACTACAGAAGTAGATTGCCTAACCTTCCTTCCGAGGAGTAGTTGGTGGGTTTGAACCGCCAGTCTTCTGCTTAGCAGTCACATGCCTTAGGCACCACACCACCAGAGCTCCCACCAAATGAGAAGTGAACTCCAAATCCACTCTGCCCTTTCCTGGTCCCAGTACTGTCCCTGCAGCACCCTCCCAGTGAGGATCCATTTAGGGCCCAGCCTGGAGCTTGGGCTGCCCTGCATTATCTCATTTCTTCACCCAGGCAGGTTCTGTCCCCTTTTCACAGATGAGGAAACTGAAGTTCAGAGAAGGTGAAAGACTTACATAAGGTCACACAGCAAGCAAGTGGCAGAGCTAGGACTCAGATCTGGGCCTTCCTGGCTCCAACCCAGGAGCCTTTGTTCCTGGACATCTCTGAATCCTCAGAGCTTGTTCCCACTCATCCACAAAAGTGAAACTTCAAATATGTGGTAGCCAAGGCAATGTTAGCAGTGGGTGGAGAACATGGCCTTGGGAGCTGGCCTGGGCTGGAACCCTGGCTCCCACCTGCACCAGCCGTGGCCACACGTCCCCTCTCTGAGTCTCAGTGCCTCCTCTGTAAGTGGACACAGGGACAGAGCATGGGAAGCCCTTTGCTCGTCCTGGATCACAGTGGGTGCCCAGTAAATGGCTTGCTAGTATCCCTGTCCCTGCTGCTCCTGGTGCCAGAAGGGAGGAGAGGGGACCCGTGCGAGCAGCTTTTCAAGGGGAAAATCCCGTGTGCTGCATTTCAGAAAATCAAGGCCGTGTATGACACCAACCCCACCAAGTTCCGGACCTTGCAGAACATCCTGGAGGTGGAGAAGGAGATGTACCCAGCAGAGTGGCCCAGAGTGGGGGCGACGCTGGCTCTGATGTGGCTTAAAAGGTGGGGCTTGGGTGGCATGTGGCTGGGGAGGGGCAGCAGGCATCAGCTTTGCCTGGGCGGACAGTTACTCCTATTTGTTCCCATCTGCTGTGGCCAAGGCACTCTTCTTGTCTGATGCTGGTTAATGGCTGAGAAGTGTCCTGAGGGCCCAGGGCTGCCGGATGGTGACGCGTCCTCCTTCCGTTCCCATCAGAGGATGAGAAACCAAACCCCCTGTCGAGTCTGTTCCAACTCATGCAAATCCCTTGTGTTAGAGAAGATTGTTCCGTAGGGTTTTCTTGGCTGTAGTCTTTTCTTTTTTAGATTATTTTATTGTTATTGGTGAGAATATGGACGCCAATGCTTTCTACACATACAGTACAGTGACACTGACATTCCTCAAGTCGTGCAGCCCTTCTCAGCCTCCAAGTGACTCTTCCCCCATTAACATAAACCCATTACCTCTAAGTTCCCTGTCGTATCTTTGGAGTTGCTGTTGTTGCCAGTCTGATCCCATATAGATAGATCTTTTTTTTTCTTTAATTTTTACTGTGATTTGGGTGAAAGTTTGCAGAGCGAATTTATGTTCCATACAGTAGTTCATACACATTCTAGCTCATGACATTGACTGCCATTCCCCACAATGTGACAGCTCTCTTCCCACTTCCTCCCCGTAGTTACCTCTTCCCTGTGTCCTTCCCTCCTGTGCACTCTGCCTCCCCTGAGCTGTCTCCCTATGCAGACACTGCCTTTCTGTTCTCCCACGATTGATCACTCCAGGGACTGTATCTATCTGATGTAAATATTCACCCCACATGCCTGTCTGTTGTTTGGCTGGAAGCCACAGGAGTGAGTTCAGTTCCAGACCTGAAGGGTAACGAGGGGCCATAGTCTTGGGGGTTTCTCCAGGCTGTATCATTTTTAATGATTTTGAGCTCTGTTCCATGTTGTTCTCCCACTCTGTCCAGGAGCTCCTGCACTGATCCCCCTCTGAGTGGTTGACAGTCGTAGCTGGGCACCATCTAGTTCTTCTGCTCTCATGGTCATACAGGCTACAGTTGATCCCATGTAGACGATCTTAAAAGAGCTTGGGTGTAATCATAACAGAAGCAGATCACCAGGCCTTTCTTCCAAGGCACTGTTGGGTGGGTTTGAATCTCCAGACCACTGGTGCTGCCCAGGGACCTCACAGTGAGCGGTTATTGAATAAGTTTGCTGTCCCAGATGTTGTGCTGAACCCTGTGTATGTCTGGTCGCCTGTCATCTGTGATGAGTCACGAGTAGTCATTATCCCTGTTTCGCAGAGAAGGCCACTGGGGCTTCTGGGGGCCACAGCACATGCCCCAGCTACGGAGTGGAGCTGGGACCGGGCAGTTGAGCACAGGTGTGCGGGTTGTACACTGCACAGAGGTGTCCTGTCTCGGGGCCAGACCACACACATTTGTATGTTGTGATCTGTATATTGTGACTGTTGCACAGAAATGCAGCGTCTTGTGGAAAGGGAGCTCTTTATCTAATTTGCCCAAATGTGCCCCGTGGGCCGGGGAGGGGCACACCCTGAGATGGAGTTTGAGCCCAGGCAGTCTCAACTCCAGAGCTCATGCATGCTGCTGAGAACCACCGTGCTGTCCTCGCAGCGGATGCCTGAAGCCCCAGACCATTGTTCCCGTCTCACGTCTTACAGCTGAAGCTACTGAGGTTCCAAGAGGCCAGGCAACTCTCTTGCTGGGCCCACAGCACCCTCTACCGGCCATAGACTCCTTTAGCTGTGCAGATGCCATGGCTCCTGCCCACCCGCCTGCCCCCTGACAGCTGCAGTAGGAAGCCGGGGGAACATTCGACCCAATCCCAGCATTGCCCTCTCTGTGGGTCTGGGGTCAGGAACCAGAAGGGCAGCTCCACCCCGTCTCTCTACCTACCCTGCCAAAGCCTGCACCACACACACACATACACACACACATACTCACACTCACTCACTCACTCACTTCTTTGGTGAATGGAGCCAGCAGAATCAGCCCCCCAGAGTGGGAGGCTGCATGGGCATCGAGAGTGGGAGACTGGGTGGGTCATCCGGCTGTAAACTGACACTGACAGCAGGTTTCAGGAACTGCCCTGTTAGCTGCCCGCCTTTGTATCCGCCTGGAATAAGGCAAGGCCCCGGGCCATCTAGCAGGCAGGTTTGGTGGGTTTTGCAGGAGGAGCAGGGCAGATGGTGGCTTTCAGGTGTTCCAAAGGAGATATGGACAGAGCCAGGTACCCAGAAAGGCAAGTGAAGGCCCCAGTGAATGCCCACAGGTGGAGCATTTATTGAGCACCTGCTGTGTGCTGGCCAGTCCCTTGGGGCACCCAGCCTGAGGAGGGGTCAGGCTGGTAGGTGGGTCTTGCCAGCAGGAGGTCAGAGCCAGGCACAGAGAGGTCAGGGAAGGCGTCCTGGAGGGGGAACCCTGGGGACTCTGAGTAGGGATGCCCCAGAGGTAGGAGGAAGAGAGCTCTAGAGGGCTGGTATGTCCAGGGCTCTGATGGGAGGTGGGAGTGATGAGGTCAGATGGGACAAGGGTGAGTTCTAGCTTGGTCAGGACCCTGGGGAGCCACCAGGGGTCCTGAGGCTGGTCATGGACCGGGGTGTGTGTGGGGGGCAGATGGGGAGGGACTCAGGAGAGGCAGGGGTCGGGAGAGTCAGGGGCCTGGGGGAGGCAGGGATGCTCCAGTGCTGATCCTGATGGATGAGGGCTGTGCCCCAACACCCTTTTGGTTAGTGTTTGAGTGCTTAACTGTGCCACCCTGGGCCTCTTCCTGGCACCTTGGTGTCACTGTGTGCCATCAGGCATGTGGGGCAGAGTAGGGCTTCCCAGGCCATAATCTGTATGGAGCAGGCTGCTGGGCCTGTCTCCTGTACAGCCCCTGGGGGGGTTTGAACTGGCCGCCTTGCAGTCAGCTGGACGCTTAACTGCTGTGCTGTCGAGCTTCGTTCTCCTGGCACCTAGTAGGTGCTTGGTTCCACGTCTCTGGGTCTGCCCTGCAGGGCGTGTGCCGGCTGGCTGGCACGGTGGACCCTAAGGCACTATCTCCTTTCTTGTGCAGAGGCCTCCGCTTCATCCAGGTCTTCCTGCAGAGCATCTGCGACGGGGAGCGTGATGAGAACCACCCCAACCACATCCGCGTCAACGCCACCAAGGCCTACGAGATGGCCCTCAAGAAGTACCACGGCTGGATCGTGCAGAAGATCTTCCAGGTGAGCCCGCCCTACTGGGGGCGCCCTGTTCCATCCCCAGGCCCGGGGTGGGGGTGTCAAAGTTGGCAGGCTCCGCCCCCTGTCCTGTTGGGGCCCAGCGAGGCAGCCCCTGGCACCTGTGCTTGCCCACCCACCTGTGGGCTCCCTGGCCAGCTGGGGCGAGGTTGGGGTCTGAGGGCCCTGATGAACACCTGCCCAGCCCTGTTGATGGCTGTGGCCGTGGCGAGCATGCTGTGGGTGCCCCTGGAGTTAGTCTGGGTGCCTCGTCCTGGGAGGCCCTGATCTGGCAAGTGCAGGAGAAGCCACAGAAGGAGTCTAGACTGACCTCAGGTTGAGGGTGGGCAACCTCACTGGCCCCTCAAATTCAGCCACGTTTTCACACTGTAGTGTCTTCGTTAGCTAGGGCTGCTGTAACAGAAATACCCCAAGCGGGAGGCTTCAAAGAACAGAAACTTACTTTCTCACAGTTTAGGAGGCCCCACGTCCTAACTCAGGGCACTGGCTCTAGGGGAAGGCTTTCTCTGTCAGCTCTGGGAAGGTCCTTGTCTCAGCTTCTGAGCTGGCTACCTTGGGGCTCCTGGGCTTGTGACCTGTCGTCCTGGGAGTCCTCAGATACGGCTAATCACCTCCCTTCGTCTGTCTGCTGCTGGGCCTAATCTGCTCTTTCATATCTCAAGTAACTGGTTTAAGACACATCCCACACTAACACGGCCTCATTAACATAACAAGAAAGCCCCGCTCCCAGATGGGATTACATCCACAGGTATAGAGGCTAGGATTCTACCATATATTTTTTGGGGGGACACAATTTGATCCATAACAACAAGGAAAGAAGAGCCCGTGTTGCCCCCAGGTTGTCAGGTGAAGGGATACCAGCCTGTGAGGTCCTTGGCGGTTTGTGTTGGGGTGATGCTGGCCATGGCTCCTGGTAATGGGGCCTCCAGTCCAGTCGGTTAGCCGAGGGCCCCCCTGGGTTGCCAGGGTAACTTGGGAGCCATCAGGAAGCCCTGTCATGGCCTTAGGGTTGGGAGTCAGACAGAAAGAGCCAGTCCCATGGTTGGAAACATGGCCACTTCTGGGCCACGCACCCCAGCAGGGCGGGGGACATCATAGTAACAACATAGTATACCTGGCCCTGGGCAGTAGGCTGCATGTGGGCTGGATTCTTCACAAATGTGTCAGAAGGTGGGTACTATTCCTAGTCCCATTTTAGAGATGAGGAAACTAATGCTCAGAGAACTTAAGTATCTTATTCAAGGTCACACAGCAAAAAAAAAAAAAAAAAGAGGCTGGGATTTTCATCTCCCTGAGCCCCAGTGTCCTCATTGTTCAAATGGGTATAAAATAGACCCTCCCTCAAAGGGTTATTGTGAAGGTTAAATGAGACAGCCTGTATGAAGTCCTTGGTCATGGGTCACACTGGGGAAATTGACACTATTACTGTTTTTATTGGTAATGATATTAATTTTAATTTCCCCACCTCATCCAACTCATGGCCTAAGCTTGCTACCTGGTTGCATGTTTTTCCTTCTCTCTCTGAAATTCTGAGTTTCTGATTCTCTGCATTTCCAAGTGTCAGGGCAGCCCTGACGTTTAGGGCCGTGTCGCCCCCTAACGACAGAAGAGGCCACAGCACAGATTCGCAGCCATCATCCTTGCTCAGAAAGTGAGTTTCCAAAGAGGTAGTTCACCTTTTTCCAAGCAGGAGATCCGGAGGGAAGAGGTTTTTTCACCCTGAGTATCTCCTGGGTACACACTCCTGTAATCCTTACCACTGCAACCCGATTAGGAGGGTGCCCTTACTGTGCCCATTTTACAGATGAGCAAACGAGGCTCAGAGATGCTAAGTAACTTGCTCAAGGCTCACAGCTAGTCGGCAGCACAAGTCAGAATTTGAACCCAGGTCTGTCTCCCCAAAGCTGGGCTCCTTCCTGCTTCCCCTCACGGGGGTAGAAGAAAAAATGCATCTCCTTTGGCCTCTCCCTTCCAGACCCCTGCCCATCACAGGCCTCAGGGAAGCCCTCTGCCCAGAGCCCTGGCGCGCCCAGCCCAGTGTCCCACCCTGCTAACACTGTGCCACCTCCCTTCTTGCCATCCCAAGGCAGCATTGTACGCAGCCCCCTATAAGTCTGACTTCCTGAAGGCACTGTCCAAGGGGCAGAATGTGACGGAGGAGGAGTGTCTGGAGAAGACCCGCCTCTTCCTGGTCAACTACACGGCCACCATTGACGTCATCTATGAGATGTACACCAAGATGAATGCCGAGCTCAACTACAAGGTGTAGGTGTGCGCCGCAATGGCACGCCCGGGGCCCAGGAACCTTACCACAGCTGCACACAGACACAGGCAAACCCGAGTCACTGTGAATCCTGCCGGTGGGCCACCCCAGGCCCACGTCCCCCCCAGAGCAGCCAGGAGTCCCAGAGGGGACTGCAGGGGATGGCCCTGGCTTTTTGAAAAGTCATTTTTATGGCACTTCTACTAGAGCAATAAATAACGGCCCACTTCTGAGTCACCTTTGAACTTCACCACAGCACAGACTGACTTTATGCCTTCATCTCAGCATGGTAAAATCGATTAATGTTTCTAATAAATCAAGTCCTAGGGTTTTTTATTTTCGTTTCCCCCCGCCACATGGAGCACGGCTCTGGGGGACGGTGCAAGGCACCTCACGTTCAGTGAGGACATATCCTTGTGAGGATTGGGCTGAACATTTGGGGCATTTTAAGGACTACGATGAGTCGGATTTGAAATGATGCAGGTCTGTTACTGTGGGCTTGAGGGACAGCGGCACGGACTGGCATGTGTGCTCCTGTGTCCTGCACCAGCCTCCCAGCCCTGTCATCACACATCTGCTCTTTCTGCCTATCTCTCACCAGACAGTTTTCTGAGAGCTGAAACCAGCCAGCAAACCTCTCAAGCACCCAGAGGGCATTTATTTTAAAGTAATCAGGCACAAGTAGTCGACCACAGATGACTGTGTGTGCATCTTTCCGCATAGCGATTTTCTTCAGGGACCGCTTCTCCAGCCTAGGAAACCACCTAATGTGTATTCTCTCACGGGGGATTGGATGAACCCTCCTGCTGCGGAGACCCAAGACAACGCCTCGCTGCCTTAACTGTTCCCAGCGCTGAAAAGAGTCAGAGTCTCCAAATTGTTGGGGCAAACCAAGCAACCCCCAAAGAATTGGTGTGTTTTGTTTTTTCTTTTTTAAAAAAAAACCCAATGAGGAACAGTGGTGATTTTTATGCACAAACTAAATGATCCTTAATAAATAAATCTCTATTTTGGAGTCACATCTGTGTGCTGGTTTGGTTCTTGAGTCATCTTCTGGTCCCATCCCCCCCCCCCCCCCCCCCGCCCCGTATCAGAGGCTACAACTGGAAGATCCTTATGCCAGATCCTGCCAAGGACCTGTTTTCCGGCCTCTACGATTTAAAAATGGAACTGGTTGCCTATAAAAATCTCGATTCTCAGCTTCTTTTAAAAAAGAATCAAGTTGCTTGGCAAGAACCTGGCGACAGCTGACCCTGTGGCTGGTTGGGGAGGAGGAAGAACTCATTCTCCACTTTGCTTCAGTCCCTACCACTCCCTGATGCCTCCCCAGCCCTGTGTCCAGGTGATCTTACACTTTATTATTGGCATGGATAAGGAACTCTGGTGATGCTGTAGCTAAAGCGTTGAGCTGCTAACCAAAAGGTCGGCAGTTTGAATCAAATGTGCATGAACTGTTGAATGTAAAACAAATTTGCTTTGTAAATTTGTATCCAGAGCACAATTAAAAAAAAAGAAATGTCAGCAATTTGAATCCACCAGCTGCTCTGCAGGAGAAAGATGAGGCCATCTGCTTCCATATAGATTGACAGCCTTGGAAATCCTCTGTGGCAGTTCTACTCTGTCCTATAGGGTTGCTGTGGATCAGAATTGACTCGATGGCAGTGGGTTTTGGGTATTGGCATGAGCTTTATTATTGGCATGGGCTTTGTATGATTGTTGTTGTTGTATTTGCCGTAGAGTCAGACCCGACTCATAGTGACCCCTCCTTCGGTTTCTGAGGCGGTATCACTATGGAAGTAAATTGTCCAGCCTTCTGGAGTGGCTGGTGGGTTTGAACCGCCAGCCTTCTGGTTAGCAGTCAAATGCCTTAGGCACTATGCTACCAGAGCTCCCTTTTGATGATAGTATGGTTAAATATCTTATGTCATTCCTGCTCTGGTAGAGCTGAGAGTCTAGTGGGCAAGATGGGCCAGCATGTCAACAATGATGGTGTAGGGTTGTCAGTACTGAGTGTCTGGGGCCAGAGATAGGCAGCTCCCGGAACTCGGGGAGTCAGGGCGTGCACTGAACGTTGGTGGAAGTGGATCGGGGCACCTGGCAGAGCCGGAGAGGATTCTCCACCGGCCAAGGAAAGGCTTAGGCAGAAACCTGGGGCTGGACCGGAGCCAGACTGCAGGCTGTGTGTCGGGGTGTGTGCACGTGTATAGGAAGATGATAGAGTCAAGGGTCATTGTGCTACCAAGAAATTCGAAGTTGACTTTCAGAGTTACGGAATACCTTCAAGGATTTTGTGCACAATACAAACAGCCAGTGCAGAAGGCTCCCTCTGGCATGGCCAAGGGCTGGAAGCCTGAACTAAATTTTTTGCTGTTTTTGTGTATAAAACCTCTGTTTTCAGTACATTTTCTAATATTGCTCATAATAGCAATGCTAATCTTCCTAAAGCTCTAATTGCATTGTTGTTTTCCCAGAAATAGAAAATGTTGTCAACAAATTACAGAAGAATTTTGTTTCTTCCTTTAAAAACAATCTTTTTTTCTTGTCTCTGAACCAAACCCATTGCCACGGAGTCATTCCAACTCATGGCAGCCCCATGTGTTATGGAGTAGAATCGTGGCATTGGGTTTTCTTGGCTTAATCTTTTTGGAAGTGGATTGCCGGGTCTTTCTTCCGTGGCACTACTGGGCAGGTTCAAACCACCAGCCTTAGGTTAGTCCAAATGCACTGCCATCAGGTCGATTCCAACTCATAGCAACCCCCATTGGGTTTCCAAGGCAGCAAATCTTTTCAGATTCCCCACCTTCCTTCCATGGGGTAGCTGGTGGGTTTGAACCTCCAACCTTCTGGTTAGCAGTCAGATGCCTCAGGCACTGCCCCACCAGAGAATATAAACTGCATCACCCAGGGATTTTCTTCATGTCTCTGACATAGTACAGTTCTACCAGGAGAGTAGGGAGAACTTGTGGAGGGAGAGATTTCCCCAGGGCAGACCCCCTTCACGTCTGTTGCCTGCCCCTATGAACGTGTCAGGGTTTTGACCCCAGATCCAGAGCCAACAGTGCATCTCTGGTTTCCCATTTCACTCTTGTTGAGGGGGAACTGAGTTCTGCCTGGGGCAGGCAGGAAGGAGCACACCTTGAGCACCTGCTATATACCAGGCCCTGCCAGGTGCTTTAAACACATCAGCTCACTCCCACCCTGAGATGTGGGCCTCGAGAGGTCCATTTATCAGAGGAGGAAACTGAGCCCTGGGGGAGGGGCAGAGGGGTGACCAGCCAGAGGTGGGAACACTGGGTTTTCAGAGCTGACTCCAAGTGTCCCCTCAGCTATGTCTATTTCTATTCCAGCTGACAGAGTGAGCCTTCGTTCCAGCACACCTCTCTGCCAGGTGTTCCCAGGGACAGGAAGCTACCGTATCTGACCCAGCTTAACCTGGTCCTGCACAGAAAACAGAATTATCCCAAAAGTGTCACAAGTGTTGCCTCATTCATTCCTTAATTAATTCAGTTAAACCTCACTGAGTCCGTTATGGTGCAGTAGTTACAGCATTTGACTGCTAACCAAAAGGTTGGCAGCTCGAACCCACTAGCCACTCCATGGGAGAAAGATGAAGCAGTCTGATTTACAGCCTTGGAAACCCTATGCGGCAGTTCTGCCCTGTCCTGTAGGGTCACTGTGGATCAGAATCGACTCGATGGCAGTGGGCAGGTGGGAGTCTGCTACAATACAATCCTTCAAGCCCATTGTAATCCATTTGTTACAGACAGGGCAAGCCAGCTCACTATCCTTCAACTTCAGCTTCCTTATCTGTAACATCGGGGTCTTGCTGTGGAGTTGATTCTGACTCTTGGCCACCCCGTGTATGTCCAAGTAGCACTGCACTCCTTGGGTTTCAGTGGCTGATTTTCCAGAAGCAGATTGCCAGGACTTTCTTCCAAGGTACCTTGTGGTTAGTAGCCAAGCGCTTAACTGTTTGCACCATCCTTAAATTAAATGTTACTATTTGTAAAGCAATTAATAGTATCGAAGCAGAGTAATCTGTCTCTTGTTGTTAGGTGCCCTCCAGTCGGCTTGTAGTCATAGTGACCCTATGTGCAACAGAATGAAATAGTCCTGGTCCTGTGCCAGCCTCACAATACAATGTTAGAGGGCTAGTCATAAAGTTTTCCAGTAATACATGAGACAGTGTTTCACTGCTATTCATAATGTTTGCACTGGCCAATTCTTTGAGAAGTGGATGGCCCCTTCCTTCTTCTGAGTCTGTCTTAGTCTGGAAGATCCGCTGAAACCTGGTAACCCTGCTGGTATTTGAAATACCGGTGGCATAGCCTACAGCCTCACAGCAGCATGCAAGCCACCACAGTACCACAAACTGACAGACGAGTGTGGAAGTTGTCTCTTAGTAGATGTTAAATGAAGGTGCAAGGATATCTTTGTGTGATGCATGATGATGGCATCAAGCGTTGGACTCCTGGTTCTGCTGTTTATTAGCTGCGTAGCCTCAGACAATCACTTCACCTCTCTGAGCCTCACTTTCTCATCCATCAAATGAGGATATTAATAGTCCCTAGCTCATGAGTCAATGAAACTGCATGAGCAGAAACTTAACTACATAATGGTTCAGTGTGGACCCCATTATTGTTTGCAGGGGGTTATGGGAGAATGGAAGAGGAACATCTCACTGCGATTTTGTTGGTTGGTTGATAGGTTTCCTGGTTTGCAACAGCCCCATCTGGTTGCGGTCCCCGCCACCCCTGCACTTGTGTGCTGAGCACCTGCAGCTCCCGCGAGACTCAGTAGGTGGCACTGTCCGCACTGAGACGCAGAGGCGGAGCTGGGAGCTCTGCCTGTTGGGGGGTGATTTCCAAGGACTAAATGAGGAGCTCCTTTTAAACACTGTGGGGAGCATTTGAAGCTTTGAGGTGCTGACTTTAGAGCAGCCTTTGTGGCGGTCAACAATGTGACCTGTTACTGCTACTGCTGCTGCTCCTGCTACCAGCCCCGCAGAGGGC